CTCTGGGCCAAGTTCACCGAGAGGGGACTAAGACCTGAGAGAAACGGCCACACCGACACCAGGTCAGTCAAGATGGAGTGGGAGGAGGTATGCTGGAGCTGAGTTTCCCTTGCAACCAGTGGCGAGATGGCAGGTGGCCCCCCTGAAGCCAAGATGGGCTTGGCGGTGCAGAGACCCATGGAGACACGGCCTGTGGAGAAGCCCACGTCGGGGCAGAGATGCCTGAGCCTGAGAGAGGTCGTGGAGCAAGGGATGCACGACGAGTAACTGTTAATAATGGAGCATGTGATGCACAACGAGGTCGTGAGGCATCTACAGTCCATGGGACGACCAATGCCGAAGCGAGTGGCCACAACTCCCTAAGAATCCAAGAATGTGGTAAAGCCCACTGGTAAAGCCTGCACTGGAGCGATCCGATTGAGAAGGATTGCGTCCTGTGGGTAGGACTCACGCTGGAGAAGTTTGTCGATTTTCCTCGTGAGTAGGGGATCCACTGGAGCAAGGGAAAATGGTGTAAGGACTCCTTGTCCTTTAAGAGAGGAGCGGCAGTAACAACATGGATGAACTGACCTGCACTCTCCCATTCCCTGTCCCCCTGCGCTGCTGGGGAGGAGGTAGAGCCGGGAACAAAAGGAAAGGGGGGTGGGGAGGTGTTGTTTTTAAGATCTGGCCTTGTTTTCTCTTTATCCTCTCAAGTTACCGGTTTTTGTTTCCCTTTGTCCTTTTCAGCAACTGTTAATAAATTGTTTTGTTTTACGAAAGCCGAGTCTGTTTTGCCCGGGACCATGGTTGGTGGGTGCTCCCTCCGTTCTTGTCTTGACCTTTAGTCCTTTTATTATAAAACCACTACAGTTACTCAGATGGATAGTGAGTATGATTCCTGAAGGAATCATAATTTTCTATGTCAGTATGGCATATGTATATTGCCTGTTCGGTGGGACAGATATTCTTAGGGACAGATGTAACAAGAACTGCAAGTACAGATAAGATCACTTACTGCTCTGGTTCAGCATCTATCTTGCTGGACCACTGCCATCAAAAGCATTCATAATATACTTTGGCAATACACAGCCCACTTTAGTGTGTTGTTAGGTCTCAGCTTATCGGTAATTCTTTAAGACAAATATTTTTGGCAAGTTGAGGATTCACTTATATACCATCAACTATAACGGCAATCCACCTAGCACCACTACCAGAGAGGCAAATACAAAAATAAGACATGCACACATTTTAAAAATAAGTACTTTTTCTTAAAGCTACAAAAGCCCTAGACAGGTTATTTTACCTCTTTCTTTCTTTTATGTAAAATTAGGAATTGTTGATACCATTTGTCATGCTGTTCAATATCTTCTTTTGTTCTTCCACAGAGATACTCAAGGGCTTCATCCACAAAAGACAGCCTTCCTTTGTGTTTTGTCCATATTTTCAGAAAAATTTGATGATCATAATCATCCCAGCCTCCTTGCCAGCCTCCTGTTCGCTGAAGAAATCTTTCAAACTCTACTACTTCTTCAGGTAGATGATTCTCCAGTGTTTTATTAACTGAGACCTTGGCTGATGGGAATTTCAAAACTTTTTCTGTTTTTGAGCTGCCTAACGCCCACAGTTCCACTTTTCTCTCAAAGACACTGAGCTCATTAATGGCAGTTCTTTCCTCCTTCAAAAGCTGTTCATATCTGAAAAGAGAACACTGAAATCTAAGAAAATAAATCCAGTATTTATTGTTCATTCATCAAAAATTAATTTTGGAATTGTTCAACACCACACAAAAGCTATTCTTCAAAGATTAAGAACTGAAATGGTAACACAGATGACAGCACAGTTGTAATGATACCATAATAAAGCTACACAATCAGAATTAAGTTAGCCTTTTAGTGAAAGCACACATTTATGGCACGCGAACAACTAACTCAATCCCCTCCTGACACTGGTAGAAAGAAAGGGAAAAGAAAGACCCACCCACTTGAAAAACAAAACAACAGCAACAACAAAAACTCACAATCTAATTTCTTCTGCAGCCTTTCTCTGAAAAGCCTTTTCACAGGCAGATGATTGTTACATTGAATCACTGCAACAGCTATATAAACAGCCTCTTTAAAAGGCTGTGTATCAAGACTCTAACGTTGATAGCTTGAGTTTTGATTTACATACCACAGGAATCACTACCAAGAGTAAATCAAAAGAATAGTTTACTCGATTAATGCAAAGTTTTCACTGTGTCTTATGAAAGCACTTTTTCTTGTCACCGAAGCACGCATAAACATACGTTTGCCTCTGTTCCTCTTTAAAAGCATTGATTGCATTTTCAACTTCTTCCATCATTTCCCTGAGTTTGTCAACAACTAAAAAGGAAAAGAAGAAAAGAGCATATCACTTAAGAAGTCTACAGTATTTACCAGTAATTCAGCACTATCCAGAAATGCAGGCACTTGCAGAGACTGCTGAGACACCTCTATTTCGATGTACAAAAGAGCATGCATTTCCAGCTCAAACAGCCTTAAAACACAGACTCCCATTTATTTGAAAGGTGTGGTTTCACAGTGATTTAGCTACCTGGATGCAAATGCCAGTATAAATACTTATTCCCATTAAACGAGTGTCATCCTGAGTAGCCTCCAACTAATTTACAGAATAAGACAGCCTTATCCTAAAGAGTTTACACTTTTGTTTTTTATATCAATGCAGTTAAGTGACTTAAGAAGCACATTAAAATCTTTGGTTCATACCAGGCTGTAGCAATCCTATTTAACCTAAAGGTCACTACTTTTGCAAAGCTGACAAAGCAACACCAAAGTAAGACTTCGTCCTGTACTTTCAGCATGCTGTAGCCCTAAACGTGGAGAAAGATGGTGAGACAGCTGTCTAGAGAAGATCTATTTTGCAACAGTAGGAAAAAGTTTTGCAGTATGTTTTAAACCAGCACATCTCTATGGACACATACTGAATACACAGTTTAGCCAAAATGGCTTTAAAAATAATAAACAAAATTAGTACAATAGTATCACTTAAAACTCTTAGTTCAGAGCACTGGCCGCTTTTCTCGCTCAGCAGTATCTAAAGCCAGTTGGTTGGCTTTCACCTCTGCAAACTGATTCAATCCACCTTCTCCTTCAGTAGCTTCTGTGATGTGTCGTGTAACAGCAGCCTTACACCTTTTATGTTTTCCTGCAATGTGACAGGACCCATCTGTGAACACAGCATATTGCTCCTCATTATCTCACAGTTTATTATATGGTGAGGTGTCATTGTTTTAGGCCGATCAGGCAACTAAATTCCACGCAGCCGCTCTCTCACTCCAGTAAAGTGGAGAGGAGAAAAATATAATAAAAGAACTGAGGGTCGAGACAAGAACAGAGGGAGCACCCACCAACCATGGTCCCGGGCAAAACAGACTCAGCTTTCGTAAAACAAAACAATTTATTAACAGTTACTTAAAAGAATAAAGACAAGAAAAACCAGTTACTTAAAAGGATAAAAAGGAAACAAGGCCAGATCTTAAAAACAACACCTCCCCACCCCCCTTTCCTTTTGTTCCCGGCTCTACCTCCTCCCCCCAGCAGCGCAGGGGGGCAGGGAATGGGGGAGTGCAGGTCAGTTCATTCCATCTTGTTACTGCCGCTCCTTTCTTAAAGGAGAAGGAGTCCTTACACCATTTTCCCCTGCTCCAGTGGATCCCCTACTCACAAGGAAAAATCCACAAACTTCTCTAGCGTGAGTCCTACCCACAGGATGCAATCCTTCCCCATCGGATTGCTCCGGTGCGGGCTTTACCACAGTCTCGGATTCTTAGGGAGTTGTTGCCACTCACTCTGGCGTGGGTCGTCACGCAGACTCCAGATGCGTCTCTATGCAGACTCTAAATGTGTCTCTACCTGTGCCCATGCTTCACAACTATCTTCAGGCATCTCCTCTGAACAAAACCCCTCCCCACTGACGGGGGTTGTCCCACGGACTCTAGATGCATACTGTCCTCAGGCTCAGGCATCTCTTCTCCGATGTGGGTTCTCCACAGGCTGCGAGTGGGTCTCTGCTCCATCGGGACCACCATGGCTGCAAGGGGGCCTGACGGGGGTTGTCCCACGGACTCTAGATGCATACTGTCCTCAGGCTCAGGCATCTCTTCTCCGATGTGGGTTCTCCACAGGCTGCGAGTGGGTCTCTGCTCCATCGGGACCACCATGGCTGCAAGGGGGCCACCTGCCATCTCGCCACTGGTTGCAGGGGAAACTCAGCTCTGGCACACCTCATCCCGTTCCATCTTCACTGACCTGGTGCCAGTGTGGCCGTTTCTCTTAGATCTCAGCTCGACCCGGTGGGCACCCCGGGGGCGGGGCTCTCCCCAGGTGGCCCGGTGGCTCCGCCACGGCCATCCTCAGCAGATGGCACCAGCCCGGGGCGGGCCGCTGCCTGGCCAGGCGCCGGGGAGCGCGGGCAGCGCCCCCCTTCCCTCTCCTCACTCCTGGGCAAAGGCACACCTTTCCGGTTCCTTTGTCCCGACGTAAATAGGGCAATTTGCAGAGGTGTCGATTGGCTCAAGCCTCGAGGGGGATAGGAGTCCCATCTGGTGGGCAGCTTCTGCCACCAGAACCTCCCCCCTCAAATCAAACCATGACATGGGTCCTCTTCAGCACATCTCACTGCCTTCTCTGGTGACATTCCAAAATCTTCACCTTCTGGCCAGTTCGTGATCACTTCCAAAATTCTTAGGAGATTGGGGTTTCCCATCAAAGCCCTTTGTGTGATCAGTACGACCCACTTACTCCACATGGCATCAGCTGCATGATGTGTAGAGGGGACCCTCCCTTTGAATATCCAGCACAGCACTGGCAGCTGGGGAGCCAGGAGGAGCTGTGCTTCAGTTCCAACCACTTCCAAAGCAGCTCCGACTCCTTCATATGCTGCTAATATCTCCTTTTCACTTGGGGCTGAATATATCTTTTTCAGCAGGCTTCAGATCTTCTGGATCCCCAGCTCCAAAACCCAAGGGGTCAACCTCAAGTCTCCCCTGGTGCTTTTGCTAGAGACTCCAGGTGAGACTATTCTCTTCAGTATAGAGCACATTTTTAACATCTTGTCCTGCCCGGACTGGCATCAGCTGTCTTCCACCTAATTTGTTCAAAGGCTTGTCGTTGCTCAGGGCTCCATGTAAAATCATTCTTCTTTCGGCTCACTTGATACAGAGGATTTACAATCTGACTATAATTTGGAATATGCATTCTCCAGGAACCCAAAATGCCTAAGAAAGTTTCTGTTTCCTTTTTGTTAGTTAGTGGAGACACAGCAACAGGTTCATGCTGGTTTGAACATCCCAAGGATATTCAGAATTCTTAAGAATTTTTGTAAATGGCCCGGAAGAGAACCCCATGTATTGGCTCTTCAAAGAGAAAAAGCAACGGGTGTAACTGGCAACAATGCCCACCAGAAGGCTCCCGAGGTACGGAAATGAAGCCAGCACCGCTGCTCCACTCTTCACACCGCCCACCATCTCTGAATACAGATACAAAATCCGTCCTGCCACCCATGATTTTCTCATACCAGAGGCCAGCATAGCAGAGCACAGCGACACCCTTAACCAGCAAAACAATATCCTTAATCCTAATCCAACATCTAGAGATGGCAACCCATGCACACACACCAGCAAACAGCACATACGGCAAGTAAGGTGCTACGTAACACAACTCTGAAAACAACTCTCTGAGAAAAACAAAACAACATTCTGATCTGCGACGTCCAAGGAAACATAATGAATGCTTATAGCAAATTTGTTTTAACACACTCTGGTCAAATCTGCTGTTGTCTCAAGCTTTCAACCTCCACGTTGGGTGCCAAAAAGGACTGTCATGGTTTAAGCCCAGACAGCAACCAAGCACCAGACAGCTACTCACTCACCCTCCCTCACCCCAGGGGATGGGGGAGAGAACTGAAGGGGAAAAGGCAAGGACACTTGGGGGTTGGGATAAGAACAATTTAATAATTGAAATAAAGCAAAATTTAAATAATAATAAATTTAATAATATGCAAACAAGCGATGTATGGCACAACTGCTCACCACCCACTGCTCAACACCCATCCCAACCCTGGCTTGTGAACCCGGAGGAGAGAAATCCCAAAACCGCAATCCCAAAAGAGAGTGAGCGACCTTCCTAGCCAATCCTCATTTATATATTGAGCAGGACATCGCATGGTATGGAATACCCCATTTGCCAATTTGGATCAGTTGCTCCAGCTATGCCCCCTCCCAGCTTGTTGTGCACCTACACACTGGCAAAGCATGGTAAGTTGAAAAGTCTTTGATTTCTTAGCAACAAGTAAAAACATCAGCATATTATCAACATTCTTCTCGTACTAAATCCCATACTAAATCCAAAATACAGCGCTATTCTAGATATTAAGGAGAAAACTATCCCAGCTGAAACCAGGACGCTTGCCTTGTTAATTCTTGGTATCTTTGCTTACAGATTAAGTTAATGCCTTTTTTTATAGAATAGACACTGAATAAGTGAAATGAGATGTATTTTATCTAGCATCAGAAAGCACTCAGCTAGTAGGAGGGGTTCAACCTCAGTTCCACACGAGGTAGTATAGTAACACAGGAGAACGGTTCTTTCAGTGCCTACTTCCCAAAAGTTTCAAAACATCTAAATTGAACGAGTTGTTTCAGCATTTTCCATAGAAAATTCCAACTTACACTTAAAGCCATGTGGACAGCTGGAAATGAGCTCCCTGTAGACCCTACTCTGTGACCTCTTACCAGATGAAAGGGAGATGTATGTAAACAGCACTAGAACAGTACCTTTGTTTTACATAAGGCAAAGAGTTACGTATAAAAAAATACCTGTGTTTCGACAACCTGAAGAAACAAACCCACACCACTTCTAAGACCGAGTAAGTTTCTCTGTTTCCACACTCTGCGACTGTCTGTTTAGCCCATATCTGGGGCTAAACAATAGCCAGCTGTTCTATTGACCAATGACCCCTCCCCACTTGAGAAGGGGAATCAGGAAAAAAGACCCATGGGTTGAGATAAGATTTAATAACTGGAATAAAATGAAAAAATAATACTACTACTAACAATGATAACAATAATAATATATACAGGTAAGTGACATATGGTGCAGCTGCTCACCACTCCTTGGCCAATGTCCAGCCCGTTCTCAGCCAGCAATCCCAGAGCAGGAAAGTCCTGAAACTGCAACCTCATAAGGAGAGAGAGTAGGCCTTGGGAGCAGAATGACAAGTGAGACTCTCCAGGGACAGAGGCCATTGAAGAAGTGAAAGTGGGAGAGACAAAGGCAGGAGAAGAGAGCCTGCCCTCAACAAACTTTCCCATTTATAGTGAGCAAGACGTTACATGGTATGGAATACCCACTTGCCAATTTAGGTGTCAATCGCCCCGGCCATGCTCCTTCTAGCAAAAAACAAATCGAAAAGTCCTTGATCGCTACGGATACCTGCATACCACAGCTGGCTACAAACTAAACCAAAGTGCCTTACCAACTCTGTTCCCACCAAAGGAGGTGCTGCAGTCTTTTCAAAAATGCAGCATACTTTAGAAATGCAGCTTCTCTGAACAAAAACTTGATTCTATGATTCTATCCCAGAGAAACCAGGACAACGATCTTTCACCATTTCTCACATTTCTCCATTCTTCCCTTCCCAGATTGCTGGAAAAGCAGAAAGACTGGAGAAGGAGTATCCCAAGTCTGCAGGAGAATGACAAGCTCAACTGTGCAAGAAACGTGTCTCCAGAGGAAAAGGTTTTTAAATCTGCCATCATGACTTACATTCTGGTGTAGGCTTCACATCTTTTAATTGTCGCTGAAGTCTCTTCACATTATTTTGTATTTTTGATAGCTGCTGCAGCATTTTAGCTCCTGATAAACAAAATAAGATGCTGATAGTTCTAACAGTTTCTTTGAGCATTAAATTCAATACAAGAGCAAGAGTAGAACCAATGTTTTCATGTACTCCGAGAATGCATGCGCTTACTGGGTTTGTTACCCCTTGGCTCTTCCTGAGTCCATAAATACAATACTGATGGGGATGAAGTTATGGATACATCTAAGGTACTAAGGAGTCTGGGGACTGTATCTTCTATCCTAAAATATTTGTTTAAGGAAGGGATAACGGAGTCCAAGACCTATACGTAACAAAATGTAGCTAAGAGATGAACCGAGTAAAACCACAGAAAGTGTAAAAGCACATAGACCATGCAGCAAGACCTGAACATAGAAAATGGGAAGTCTGGGGATTCTAGTACGCACCCTAGAAGATCATACTCTAACACTCCTTCACATCTCACACATAGTGCCTTACAACTCTCATCTCGTGTCCTCTTTGTTATCTCACAACACATCTACGTCCACACTCCCTTCTTACCCCTGGAAAATTTTCTTAACTTTCTAGCTTAGTCATTCCTCAAAAATATTTACATTTCTTAAGTTGTAAAGGATACGGTAAGTTTCCTTAATTAAAAGACACACATTAGAACACATATAAATTTGTAAGGTAAGCGTATTTTTAAATGTCTCTGTGTCCCTTCTCTTCAATTTATTTTGTTTTGATATTCTAGATCAGAAGGTACAGCGTGATTCATTTGATTACTTTTGAAAGAATCTAGGTACTGTGACCAGGGAGTCATTTTTATCCCCTGAAGTATTTAATTAGTCTGCAAGTGGAACAGATACTTTAGGACAGACTGTGTACCATCTCGCAGCACTATTTAGACTATGAATATTCATTACCCAAGAATTTGAAAAATGCAAACACAGAACTGTTTAAAAGTATACTTAAAGGCAGCAGCCAGCGTGTGAAAAACTTACTTTGCAGTAAGTACATATATACTGGACCTTAGCTAGACTACATTAGATTTTGCAATACACGCAAAAAATTGAATCCAAGTTTCTAAACAAGTAACTTTCCACCAAGGATTTTATGAGTTGTATCTGCTACAGTCAAGAGTAAAAGAAAACAGTTAATAACACAGAAGGCCCAAAATGTTTATGCTTCTGAATTCTGCAAGTGATTTGTGGAAGTCTTCTTTAGAAGCAGTACACATGGTGAAATACCAGACTAGTACCAGCATCTACCTTCCACCTGAACTAATCTCTCTGTATTACTGATTTTTAAACCATTTAAACAAACAAAGGTTAAAAAAGAAAGGCAAATACAAACTACAAATAAAACCTCACTTACTTTCAGTTTTCCAGTCATGCTATGCTCCAGTTCCTCTAGTACGCTGTATTCTACCCTGAAATCACTCTTCCTATTATAGAGATGTCCCTTTTTGTCCTTTTCTGCATTTGCAAGCCTGGAAAAAAAAAAAAGGTTGCCACACTGCATAAGACACAAATACTTAGCAAAGCCCCAACATTTTCCAAGCTTAGTATCCAGCTGAGGCTGTGTCACCAGGACTATCTTAGAATTTATACAAATCACTGGTTTGTTCCTACTGCTGTTTTCAAGGAAAACCTTTCTGCAATTGTAAGACTACACACTGAAGTAACCCAAGAACTTGAAGAAGAGAAAGAAGTTAACAAGGAAATTACCTTACTGACAGGCAGCGGTTCACACATGGAATGGCCTGAAATTTTATCTGTATGCTATCAGTGAGCCTTATGAGAATTTTCATCGGAAAGCCCGGGGACAGACAGGCTGTATTAATGCAGTTGCACACCTAGATGGAGCCTCAGCACAGACAAAACAAGTACATTCCCTCAGCCTTAACACTAGTAACAGTACTACTGCAACTGAAGATTCAAATTCAAGTTCATGAGCATTTAAATAACTTTACCTTACTTAATGACTATGCTTTCTGTATAGTATTGAAAGCTACAGGTGACTTTTGCTTTCTTACTAAGGTCAGAAGCTGTGGAGTACAAGTCAGACTGGGATGTGCTTTGCCCTGCTACAAGCTGGCAGTATACCAGGGTTTAACCTACAGAACAGCAGATGCAGAAGGACTGCAGATATCGTCGTCCTGAGCACATCTGTGAAGTCTGGTGCCACCACGCTAGCAATCAGAACAGCAGGACACTGATGCCACACAGTATAGAGACAGCTGGTAGGATTCTCAACACTAAGCAACACTACCGACACCCACAAAATCCTGTCTCGCAGTAGCAGCTTGGTTCTTCAGCAGACTGCTGCTGCTATACGGTTTAAACCCCTATATGGTGCAGCTTGTGGTTCACAGCTCAAATGCTTTGCTGTCCACTGGAATTCACAAACCAGACCCAAGTACCAAATCTGCTCAGACACTGCACTGGAAGCCTTCAGAGCACAACTACAGGACAATACGCCCTAGTTAACTGGCATGTCTTGTTTGAAGCTCCTTGAGAACGTCTATGTTACCCAGCAGTCAATTTTTGAGCCATAACCCAGGATCCAGAATAACCAAGGAGGAGCTGATTCAGTCAGACACTGTAGAACACTGCTGTGAGACAAGTGCTCATTCAGGATTCACAACTACAAACCTCTCCTTCAGCTGGGTGGCTACATCAGCTCTTCCTCACAAAGCTCATCCGTGCAAGAGTGCAGAAACAGATTTAAATCACTTCTGTCTCTGAGCTGTCTTGAACCTCCATTTCTCAAAGCAGTGGCCTGGATACTCTAGATGAAGTGCTTTCAGTCTTCTCTGAGGAAGCTGTAGTAATGCTCGCAATTCCCCTTTTGTTGGTATGTCTTAAGGGCTTTAGTTCCTTAGAAGGCTGAGCACAGCTGAGTAGGAAAACTGAGAACTGTTATGCCACACGCACTTTCTTTTTCGTGCATCTAGTGCAACAACAGCTTACTAAAGAAGATGACTGACCAAAATCAGAACAGGGCATTTTAGAGCTCATGAGCCTATCTCAAACTACTGGAATAACTTCAGTAATCCACCTGAGCTGCTGAAAAGGAAATCTTAGCCTAAAGGTTTCATTACCATAAGTTCTTACCTTGAAACCTGAGTTACGCTACCTCCAGAACAGCATGAAAACTACTTATGATGAAGTGTTTAACTTACTGGGTTTTTAGCTTTTCTGCAGTTCTTATGAATTCAACTTTCTTAGCTCGTTCAGCTTTCATCTTCCGATTCCAAAACTGTCGACCAGCACCTGCAGTACTGGAACAGCCATCATTCTGTACATAACAAAATCAAGTACGATTTAAAAAAATATTTATTTTTCAAACATTGGTTATTTCCAAGCAGGCAACACCACAGCGCAGAGTAACCACATTACTTCAGTTTTATACTTGCACAACTAAAATAATTTTAAGTCACACCGGTATAAAACTGGAATCAACCCCGAACGTCCTTAACACAACCGCTGCGAGGAATGCAGGCGATGAAAACGTCTCTTCAGGTTACGGAGCTACCATTTTGTGGCCAGCCTGGCAAACCCGCACTGCTTCCTGCACGTCCCTTTTTAACGTTTATTCCTACGCCTTCTACGAGGCTGGAACTCCTCAGCGGCCGCCTCCGGGCGGACCC